TTGCAAGGATGAAGAACCCTAATCGCAGGGTCTGAATTGAAACTGGCTTTTTTTGTAAGATGAAGATGAAGATGCTGCGCCCTAATTTTGCCAAATAATTTGGGATTTTAAGAAAAGGGCATTTTGGACATTTTACTTGGTCTTGTGTGACATGGCAAAAAAAAACGTCCAACTGTAACAAAAAAATAAGCCACATCAGCCTTTTAGGTGATGTGGGAGCCTCAAGGTAAAAATTGAAACTTTTAAAATTTGTCAAGGTAACTATTGGAACTTTTTTTTTGGCAGGGGGGTTTTTCAAATACACCCCATATGTCAGGGGTAAAAATAGGTATTAACCCAAAAAATAATAATAAAGGACACAAAAATAAATGAAATAGTTCATGAGATATAAATTACCTTATCCAAATTACAATACTACTCCATGAATATATTTCTTAGAGTTTCATTGAAAATCAATCCTTAAAGTTAAATATTAATAACTCATACAAATCAAAACTTAGTAGAAAGGATCGTGTTCATACATCAAACATGATAAATAAATAAAATCATCAAATTATTCCAAAGATCTTCAAGTTAGTAAACACAAATCTAAAAATTAAAAGTATGTACAAAATAATAAAAATAATTCTTTATTCTTATCCATTGCTACTTGGTTTTGTAGTTCTTAAATTTTTCATACTATTCCATCTTTTTTATTTTCACTACAAGATCACCTGAAAATAAAAATAAAACATTTTATTTATGTTTATAAATAAAATTTATAAAAAAATACTTTAAATAAGTCTAACAATCGTGTGTTGTGTTTTAAACACAAATTTATGCAGAAAATCCTCAAGATGGTGAAGTAAAAAAGAAATTTATGAAAAAATAAATAAAAGAGGTATTTAATACTAATGTCATGAAGAGAATCAAATTTATCAGACATCACAAATCTAGACTTGACATAGTCAACTGTGGCACCTACATTTTCACATTCAGTGGCAAGAGTGATTCAGAAGAGAATAATGGTGATGAGAATTTCAAAGATATAGGAATGGATAGAATCATTCTCATAGTCAAGATAAACATGCTTCCAGAATTCTTTAACAAGATTCACGTAAACATGTTTCTTCAACATGCTGAAGTATCTTGTCCATTTCTGAGAACAGAATATATCTGAGATGCTGGAAGCAATGTTACTTTCAAGAGAAGAAATTTCAATTTGTCTTTCGATGGTGATTTCAAGAAGGTCTTCATTTCCAAGAAATATTGATTGAGGCATGATGAATCAGACGAGAGGAAGAATCTTGATGGGAATTGGTTTATGAGAGGAGAAGATAAATATGATAGATCATTGTATATCAAGATAGAGTACCATACAAGTTCTAAATAAGGACTTTGAGTGAATTAGTATTTAGAGGTGACATACGGGAATAGATATAGCAAAACTTTGAATGTAGTTGCTTGAATGAGAAACTATCATCACACGCATCACTTGTAAAATATTTGACTTATCCTCAAGAGAACTTACGAGTTCATATTGTCTAGATAATTGATTAAAAAAAAGCTTTTTCTTGGAAGAGAGAATGTTCCAGATTATGAGATTTTCACTTAACCAGAAAATTCACAACTTGAATTTGCATTAACATTTAGAATGCTTCTATTTTAAAACATCTTCTAACTTGTAGAGGTATTTTTATTAATTCTAAAATCTTTACAGTGATTCTTTTATATGAGTATCCTTCATTCTGGTTTTGACTTTAGCTTGTCCTTGATAGAGCTTCTGATCAATTTGTCATGTCTTTGAAGACTTTCCATCTATCTTTAATTTTATCTTTTTAGATATAGCTTCTAATCAACTTCTTCCTTCTTATGCTTTCTTCAGAGCGGTCTTTCAGAGGTTCTGAATAATCTTCATATTGATTCCTCTTATTTCTTTGAGTATTCTCAGTTTTCTTATTTGAGAACTGGAATTAGTCTTCTCTTAAGATGGTCTCTTCATTCTTCTGTTTAGAATCACTCGTACGACTTTTTAAGATAATCTTCAGAGTAAAGATATTCTGATCTTTTATTATGAGAACATCCATCTGCTTATCAAACTTCCTTTGAACAAAAGCTTATTTTCACAAGGTCAATATTTCATGAACTTATGAGAAGCTATGTGATAGAGAGATTTAACTATCATTGCCTAACGTCTTCTGAATTTTTTTTTTCTTGAACAAATTGCAAAATTTGTTCTAATCAAAACTTTGATGTTTCTGATTAACAATCTTGTTCTTGCACTGTTGAGCTAACTTACTTGGAGTTTAGTCTTTGACCATACTTCTGATGCATCGATGAGCATTATTTCCTCAATAATGTCTAGTATTTTGTAAAGCCTCCTTTCACAAGGACAATGTTTAGCTTTTCTGCCTGCTTGAATGGAAAACTCTATCATGAAGTTCTTATGTATCATAAGACGACAATCTTTTTATCTTTTGAAAAAATTCCTAATGAGATCTTATGAGAAAGTCAAGGATGGACTAATCCGTTTCTTGAAAACATATCATACTTCTCAAGGAACTTAATCAAAAGCATTCAACATATATAACTTCTTATTTGATGAATCTTTTCCTGTTAGCTTGTTCTTCAATTTTTCTGGTTTTAGACAATAGTTGAAAATTGAATATCTATCACCTTAGAGTATTTCTTACACAACATCTGGATCTTGTTCTGAAACTGTTAGGTGTTTGATTTCCATCAATAACAGAACCAGACTCTAATACCAATTGAAGGTGCAAAGAAAACGCAAGAAATTGAGGGTTTGAATTGGGTTTCCCTTTCTTGAATAACTTTCGCTTATAAGCGTTAAGCGTTAATCCACTATAACAAATTTGATTACAATCGCACGGATAACTGCCGGTAACTAATATCCAATGACGCATTCAGGGATCCAAATCAGATATAACATTTGTTGACCCAACAAAATCCAATTCTCCAGAATCTCCTATCAGGATTTCCTTCCAATGATATCCATCAGTGATATTAGAAGGTTGACCTTCACTCAATCCCCTTTGAGATATGACTACCATTGACCCAATAGAATCCACTATCAGGATTTCATCTACGATGGTCACAACCAAAGTCTTCTCAAGTCTTCTGATCTTCACTCAATCGCTTGAAGAACCAACCAATTCTAAACAAAAATATTTTTCTGGAGATTACATTAGTGCTTCTTATCAAGCAGATTACTCCTAATTTAAGTACATATTGTTTGACACAATTCTGAGCAACAACTCTTGTGTACAAACAATTTACATGAAGATCTTAAGAAATAACACAATCTGAGCAACAACTCTTATGTTTTACATATTTCTACAAAGATGAATATAATATAAGTTAAGTGTAGCATCTTGTAGTTTTCTTGTCTCCATCTTCATTGTTGAGCAAGCTATGAACAACAACTCATTGCTTCTTCATAATTATGTCAAAATGTATATGATAGATGGTTTAAATGACATCTTGTGGAGTTCTTCATCTTCATCTTCTTTCTTTATTAAGCAAGATATGAGCAACAACTCCTTGCTTTTCATGATTCTGCCAAGATGTATATGATTGGTAGTTTAAATAATATCTTATAAAATTATTGTTCTTCATCTTATTTGGTTAGCTTCAACATATTCAACATAATTGTTATTCTTGTTGTTGTTATAGTGGTTGATAACCTTTTGGTTGTGTTCTAATAATGACAACCTTTTTAGCATTGAACACTAACAACTTGCGACTTGCAACTTGCAGCTTTGAGCAACCAGGAAACCAACATGCAACAAGCTCATACCTTTTCTTCATACAATTCTTTCCTTTATATAGTCAAGCAAAATAAAGTCGTTGATTATTTAAAAAAGAGTCGTTACAAATAGTAATGCTACATCCTTATCTCTTCCACTCTTTAAGTTAGTGGAGAGGCAGTGGCATAAAACTTTTCCGTACTGTGTACTATTGTACCATGTTACCGTTATATTCTTTCCTTCTGCACTTCAGAGGCTTCTGCGAGCATGAGGTTAGAAGCGACAACATAACGTAAGGTATTCAGAACTTCAAGTCTTCAGAACTGCGTCTTCAGAGTCTTCAACACTTGGTCGTGAGAATTCGTTGTAGCGAACCTTTAGATTAGAAGAGCTTTAAGAATCCTTGTCTCAGAACCTTGTTATTAGAAACACAAAGTCTTCGGCATCTAGACTTCAGTTAGAAACGTTGTCTTCAGATCTTTTAACTTTGTTTCTTTGAAACACACTGTCTTTTATAAATAGCGTAGAAGCGGAATCAATTCTCTTCCAATGTCTTGGCCACACCTTCCATCAGAAGCAGAACCTGTTTGATGTCTTGGCCACACCATTCATTAGAAGCAGAACCTGTTTGTTAAGTACTAACATATTACATATAATTTTTTATAAGTCGTAGAGATGATAATAAATCGATGACATATCAGGGATGAAACTCAGAACCTCTAATTAAGTTGAAAGAGATCCACTCCATCTCATCCAAATGCTCTTGAATTAAATGATTTATATTTTGATATACATTTATTCTTCAAAGTGATTTTATTTAAAAAAAAGAGTAGTATATACTATAAATTAATCTCTATTATCTCTTATATTGGTACTCAAATCATCATTACTAAAAATTTATTTGTCATTTTGTTCGTATAAATGTATAAAAAAAAACTTTAACATAGAAATTAATCTGTTATTTTTTATTTGATTGAAAATTACACGTTGAAAATACTAAACAATGAAAATTACCGGAAACTAGAAAAATACAACATAAATATCTAGATTTAACAATGATGAAACAAAGCGAAGAAGGTTTTGACGAAAGAGAAAATAAAGAGAGATTCAGAGAGGTTTTGCAAATAATTAAACCGCGATTTTGAATTCGGAGAATAAACGCGAAGAAAGAAAAAAGTGCTTCCAAGGATATGAGTTCGTGTTGTGTAATTTCTGTTATTATTGCTGAATGCTAACTTTATTTAGGAAGAAGAAATGAAGAAAGACGCTAGAAACGACGAGTCAGAAGACCCGAAACTTTGGGGAGCGCTTCTGTTCGGCTTAATTGGCGCCACCGCCACTACTCTCGTCGTAAGATTCTTCGATTCGTTTTTCTCGTTCGATTTTAGGTTTTTTCGGTTAAGAACAATATGCATATGATTACAATTTCAATTTCAATTTTATTGTAATTTGAATTATTTGCAGTTCGGTCAGCTACGGAAGACTGCTGAATGGCTATCTCTGGTGATTTATTCACTTGCTTTTATTTTATTGTTAATTTAATTCAATTTGAAGTAATGAAAATAAGTTATTGATTAATCGATTTGTGTTTGATTATTTTGCTGAGGAATCTAGGTTTTTGGCTTTTTTGATTTTTTTGGATTTTGTTTGAAGTATAAGGAAGAGATTGATGGTGAAACTGATTGGGTATGGTTTTGAATGTAGCTATCTAGGTCTCAAGGGTGGAAAGGAAAAAGTGGGAGTACTTATAGGACAGCTTTTCAGGAAGAGGCATGGAGAAAACATAATAAACGAATGCAAGAGGAGTATGAAGAGGAGATGGAGAGAGTTGTGAGTTTTCTTTCTTCTTTTATTTATCTGGCTGGGTTTGTTATCGTCATTGTTGTGATAAATTTTAGTAGCGTTCAAATTTTAAATGCAAGGATTTATTTTGTTGTAGCTGTAATTTTGTTAAAACAACTAGAGGTAGAGGAAGATTGGGAAAAACTACAAGAGAAACTACAAGAGAAACTACAAGAGATCCCTTTAAAAATTTGCGCGTTTTGTAAAATTATTTTTATCAGAGAGCGACAACCCTGAATCTGATCGTCTAAACTTTACGTATTGGAAAGATCGGATATGCGAACTAATTTGATGAAAGTGATGAGAATAGAATCACAATTAAAAATGAATATGATGAATCGCTTTAGCAAGTTTAACAAGGTGTAAGTTATTACCAATTAGTTGCGGAGAAGATAAAGCAAATTTGTGAGTTGTAGATTCACCAAACACTTGGTGTACGTACTACACAAAGTTTGGTTATACTCAAATTATAGTGATTGTAGCCAAATCTTGAACAAAAACTCTTTTTACCATGAATGATTTTGTACTCAAGAATCTTTGGCCCCAAATCCTTCTTCACAATCCTCCGGTTACCGCTACCCGATTGAACACTCCACGGTCTTCCAATCCCTTAGCTCGGCTGAATTCAATGAAGCAAAGATTTGTGATAAAAACCCCCAATTTGGAGGACAAAACCCCAATGATTTTATTCAAGAAAAAACCCACAAAGATCTCAACCCAAATCTGAAATTGCACTTTCAATTCGGACGTTATCAACACAATCCCAAGAACTTGATCAACAAGAATGATTGTGTGTAGTTGTTGATGATTGATGAGAGGTTGAAGATGAAGAGAACTCTTGTGTATATCTTTCACTTTTTCTTGTTATGTTAAAATAGAGGCCAAAACTATATTTATAAGTCATTCCCATGATGTAACAGCATAGCAGAAAATTAAGACAATTTAGCGATGCGTCGACTCATGCAGGGCATACAGAAGACGTGCGCCTTCCCGAGCGAGAGAGAGATTGAAGTTCCTTTAGTTATGCGCCGACTCATTGTTTTGATGCGCCGACTCATGTTTTCCCAGAACTGTGCGTCGACGCATAGAGAAGGCGTGCGCCTTCCCGAGCGAGAGAGGTTGAAATTTCTTCAGTCATGCGCCGACTCATTCCCTGATGCGCCGACTCATGTTCTCCCAGAACCATGCGTCGACGCATAGAGGAGGCGTGCGCCTTCCCAGACGTTTCCAAGCTAAGAACTTCTTCTCATGAGCCGACCTGAGGATCTATGAGCCGGCTCATGCAGTCTGTTTTGAGATAGATGCTTATTTTTTATGTTTCTCACTTGCACCTGTTTGAAGTAAGGCATATTTGCACAGATGGGTTTTTGACAATCATTAAAACTCAGTTCTTTCACTTTTGCCCTCACAGAAAGGGTATAAAGTAGGTATACCCTATTATGACAGGAAACAAAAGCTATTGCATCCCCATACCAACCTTTACACTTATGACCCGTTTGTTCCTCACACAACTTTGTGCTTGGCCCAATAGTTCAAAGACATGTGTCGCGCCTCCTCCGTCACGCTAATTTTGGGTGCAGTTGCCTAATTTGCTTCAACCATATATGCTGCTCTTCTCGTGTACTCTGCAAAAAAAGTTGGTCTAGGCAGGGTATGCACGATTTCTACTACTATCTCTAAAATGGAAATAGCTTCATAATAACATAAAATTTATTTAAGATAAATTTATAAAAGTGATGAAAGATTTCTTAAATAAGAGAAAAAAATTCTAAGAACTGCATAATAATTCCTAAACCAAACAGTAATATATAAATATGCCCCACTATGCTGAATCACTGGGTGATTGCTCTTTGTAGGAACGAATAAGGCGTATGCAAAACGTGTTTAACAGAGAAAGAAATAAGTACAAAAGAGGCTATGAAAGCTGGAAGGAACATGGTCCTAGCCCATATCATCAACATTTCCAAAGAGAAGATTGGTATTGGAAGACTGATACTTCATACAAAAACAGGAGGACTAATTATCGAGAAACTCCAAGAGAGAGCAGAAACTATGCATTATCACATCACTATTCAGTTTTGGGTCTTGACAGGTACTTACAGAAATCTAAGACAATGGTCTATCTAATTGTGGCTTCACAGGAAATATTTTGTTTTGTTTACATATATTACCCGAGGAAGTACAAGATAACTGCTTGTTTTATAGATTTACATATATTACCCGAGGATGTACTATAGATTATAGAAACAAAAAAAGAACTGTGTTGGTGAAGAAAATGCCTAATACTCTATGGGTTGGACGCCTGCTTCTATGGTAAATCCAGAGCAGTCAATTACCTTTTTAGTTTTAACAAGTATGCACTTTAAACCTAAAGAAGTGTGTGATTTTAATACCTAGTAATAGTTGCAACTTAAACAGAACAGAGTTTCCAAATTTTTGTTTATACTGTAACTTTGTAAATGCTTGAAGACCTGTACATGATCGTGTCCTGTCTACAAATGAAGTTAACATGCTTGTTTTGCTTTCATGATTAGCCATTAAATTTAACTTTTTGGTTGACCTCAGGTTTAGGAAAGCACCATATTCAGACGCTGAAATTAAGGTAACTTTATTTTCTAACAATGCCTTGCACATTACTGTTGGTGTCTTGCTATATTTTGTCTATCAATTTCTATGTGCATCAAGCTCATCATGATGCAACTGTTTCAGCTCATTTTACTTTGGTGTCTTTGATATGACCACAATTGCAGCTTCCATGATATTACGACATAGATTGTGTGTTTGATCACTATTCTTGAACTAGTTTCATAATTATTCTTTTGTAGAGTGATAAAATCATATCATGATTTAGCCTATGATTTGTGCTCAGGCAACTTACAAGCTTGCCATAATTTATTTACATATTACAACTATTCTCCTTGCTTAGAGTGCAGAGTCCAATCTTACTCACAGTATTCTGGTGACTTCTATCCTGATTTGATGTCCTGCAGTGTGTTCTTCCTTCAGATTATTATTCAGTATTTTCATATTTGTTGATACTGTATCTTATTACTCTCTTACATTTCTTTGTTACTTTGTTTTGATTTCTTTTGTTAATTATCCCCTTACCTTTACAGTCAGCATTTAGGACAAAGGCAAAGGAGTATCATCCTGATCAGAACCAGGATAATAAAGGTAGGCCTTGACTTATTATCGGTGTATAAGATCTTGTTATCTCAAACTTTGGTATTATAAATCACGTAATCATGTATGGGAAAATGGCAGACGTTGCTGAAGCCAAGTTCAAAGAAGTGATGACTTCATTCGAGGCCATAAAACAAGAGAGAAATAACCAAAATCTGTAATTGCCAAACTCTGCCCATCAATACCAGGACTCGAAAGGATGTGAGGTATTCCAAGTAATTAATAAAGTTCATTTAATTTTCATCTAGCTAAATTATGAATATGCTATGAGTAAATTTTCTGCAATCATTAGAAATTTTCTGAATTAATTTTTTTTTTATGCTTCAATGAAACAGAGTTTGACAATGACAGACGTGAGTTACTTGTCTGAACTGTACAAAGAAAATCTGGTAATAATATTGTATTCATTGAGTGGCAATGCCCTTGCCATGTTTGAACGCCACAGGAAAACATTCAAGGTTTGAGTATGGAAGCGATAGACAGAGATGGACAATTAAGGGATGTTTAGAAGAGTTTATTTTGAGTTTACCTTATGAGATAAGCATTTGTATAACATAGGTGTTTGGAAGAACTAATAAAATATAGCTTATGATATGCTCATAAGCAATTTTCAATGTATTTTTATAAATTTCCCAAAATAGTTCATAGAAATATTATACATGGCTTCGTTTTCTCTTTGATTGTAAAAGCAACATAAATTTAAGCTCTTATATAATTAATAACATTTTATAGACTAATTTTGCTGGCCTTTTGGAGTTTACTGTCTGGAAGTGTACCAGGGGTTTCATGGAGCGCTTTCTGATCGAGATTGTGCAGAGATTACATCCGTCCAACCAGTAATGGAAAATGCACAATCGTCCTCTGTTTTAAGTCGGGACTGTATCCATGGCAAGGACCTGCTTGATGTTCACATTGGAAGTGGGCAAAGTGCAGAACTTAAACATTTATAATGTTGAGTGAATTCCATTGCTGTAACATTGTAATACTCTTTCTGTGCTTGGATTTAAGTAGTGTCTTAGTGGTGGTGTCTATATTTTAAACTCATGAGAAAGGCTGTAAGTTTTGGTGTGTGATCGGGACTTTATCGGGACTTTATGAGTCTATTGAGATACTAACTGCAAGTATACAGTTTAGTCGTTCTAGTTTTAAATGATTATCGAACCCACAGAGACTGAGGATCAATCGCATACGATCTAATGCTACAGTTTGTTTCACTAAGCGATGAATATTTGATTTTAGGGGGGAAACAGTTTAATTAAAAAAATAGTAATAGTTATACCGGTATGTGATAGTCGGATTTCGAGAATTCGGTGAATCGCTTGGCCTATAAAGTATTTCGGTAAAAGCTAATTGTTTAAAAACCTGAGACATACACTCTCGTGTTCATGAAATAAGTCATGCTACTAAACCTAGTGGATGCACTTTAAATTTAATAACACTTTTTGAAAACAATTTGGGTTTAATTAATTTATTAAAACACCCTCGTGTATTTAAAAATTAATGTTTCGTTACCACTATCTGGATCGAACCCCAGATCTCGCATGCAGGTTCTTGCCTTAATTAATTTCCCACTCTCGTGGTAAAATCGTGTTAATTAACCCCTCACTATCGTGACAAGGGTAGTTAAATTAAACATGGAAATTGAAAACCAGAAATTGTTTTATAAATATTTTTGGCCAAGGTATCACTGAAATCTTTCGGTTCTTCAGAGTCACATACCAATACGAATAATTTAGCCGGACATAATAGATTTAACAACAATGCAATTCAAAATATAATCCATAAAAATAATTGGCATAATACAAGAATGAATAAATATTAATTGCAATAAAAACCTGGAAATAACGTTACTATGGTGAAATGTTACAATATTCCTTGCAGCTTGATTGAAGTAAATAAATTGTGTTAATTCTTGAATGAAGAATTAACACCCTAAAACTAATGCTTGAAATAATGTTGGAAGTAGAAAGTACAGTACGTAGAAAATGGTCAAAAAACAAGGAAATAAAAATAATTGCAAAAGTAGTAATTTTGTTCTGGGAGAATTCCTTCGACTCTCTTCCCTTTGCACTACCACATATATATAGGAGAGAATATAGCAGTTGAAAGAATCTTGAGAAAAGGCTTGAGTGGAGGAAATATAAGTGCATGGTTACTGAGTGGAGGGAAAATAGGAGAACACTTCTGCCCTCACGTTGCCCACGTCTTCACCAATTCACAACGTTCATCTTTTTGTGCGTGACGGTCGTCACAGGTGGGTGACGGTTGTAATGCGTTTAAATAGCGCATTACACTCGTCAGTGATGTGTGACGAGCGTTGTTTCAAGTTGGGGGTCGTTACGGTCGTCATGGGGTGTGACAGTCGTCACTGCTCCAAAATCTCCAAACTTTGCAGATTTAGATCTTTTCTCTTTGTTTATTGTCTAGCCTCCTTCTTGTAGTCCCTTTTCATTGGTTTGAGTTGACAAATGTTATACCTGTGAAAAGACAAATAAACTCGGAATAATCGGGAGTTAGACGACTTAATGTATTATCAAATCGGTAAAAAAAACGTAGTAATTATATGATACAATTTCTCGTTATCAAATTCCCCCATACTTAAACCTTTGCTTGTCCTCATGCAAATAGTCATTCGAAAGGTCGGACAAGTTTTGTCAAGCGCATACGCATGACATACCTTGGATTTTTAAAGCAATTTCGGGAAATCCTCGTCGGTTCGGCCAATACTTGAGTGAAACACTAAAGATACACTAATGCCACAAGCAATAAGCTTAGTCGTAGGCTTCCATTTCAAACGAGCTATCCAACAGTTCCGTTATAATTCTTCCCAGAGTTCCTCGTATCCATTTCACCCGGTTTTGTTCTGGCGCAATCACATTAAGCCCTTTGTCTTAGCACGCACGTAGTGGAGTAACCGGTTAGTGACTTTAATCCTTTTAGCACGAAGTCTGGTACACGAATGTGGCAACCCTATATATGTTATCCAAGTTGGAGGTTGTGGGGGATCGAGCCATAGCGCGCCCTACCGAGTTCAGAACCAGATACCTCTGAACCAACCTACACTGGATTCCTTCGTTATTTTCTCAACTCTTATGTGTGACCGTATATTTTGGTGCACAAAATTTCTTTTCTTTTAGCAGCGAGATAGAAAGGATATTTTAATGATTAGGCATCAAACACTTATATTCATCGATTTTCCACGTGGTTTGTGTCAAGACGGTGCTGACTGCTAGTATAAACTACTAGGGGTTACTGTAGAACTAAAAACTCTAGATGTCGGTATAATGGTTATTGAAACGGATCACGTAAGTAAGAAGTCTACGGTGTCATAACCGTATCGATCTTGTTATGTCGTTTTCGGCTTCCCTGACTGGGGATTTCGTTAAAATAGGTATGTCGGGCTAATGCGAAGATAAAAAATTTTGGTATGGCTGAATAAAGTGAAGAATTTAAATCGAGATATATCATAAAAATTACTAGTTTATAAAGGAAGGAAAGGTACCTCTCCCACACTAAATCCGACATTGTCCTCAATGTTGCGGTATATAGGTGGGGAAGTATAATTACAAAAACAAACGGAAAGGAAATGAAACAGAAAAAATAATAAACTACATAAAAATAAAGAAAAACTACTGGTGACCACGTCCTCTACTCCTGGTGCGAGAGCGTCTGGTAGGAGTGGCTTCTGTGTCAGTATCTTGGAAACCAAGGGTGCTGACGTCCAGCCTTAAGGCGTTAAGCTCTGATATGGCCTCATCTAACCTCTCATTCATGTTGCGCTGCCCAGTCAAGATCTGAGCGTTTTGAGCGCACAGAGACTCAAATTGCTCATGTTGCCTTCTTTCAAGCGCTGCGCTCATTTGGTTTTGCATATGAATGGCGCGGAGGATCTCTTCAAGAGTAATAGGAGGAGGTGCAGATGAGGATCCTGGAATGTCGTGGACGGGAGGAGCACTATCCAGCTCTTCTTGCATTTCGTCTGCGGGGGCTGCAGGTTGGTCTTCATGAGTAGGTGCACGCTCCGCAGGAGTTGCAGGATCGAACAACCAGTTTGCTCGGTTTCGTGGATCGATTCGGTCCCTGCAAGGAAAAATGATGTTCTGATAAACAGTGTTCCTGATCACAGGGTGGAATCTGCCATCCTCCCGCTCATAAATGAGATGTGCGGCTTTGCAGTGATCCAAAGTTAGCAAAGCCGGTGCCATAGAAGGCATAGTCGCGAGAGCAGCACCGTAGTTCAGACCTGTGGCAAGTGAAGTGACCAGCCCTCCAAAATAAAAGGGTTTTCCGCCTCTAGCACAAATAGAGTGGATGTGAGCGAGTAGGAACGGGGCGGCGTTGATCTTTTGCCCTGTGAACGCGCAATGCATAAAGAAGAGCTCCTTGGAGTTGAGCTTGTGGTTGCTGTCACGGACGAAGATTGGAAGTTTGAAAAAAAATGGAGTGGAGTGGGTAGTTTTCGTGTGGTTCTGTAACAATGGAGGAAGTGAGGTTAAGAAGGAAATGGTTGGAACGGTTCTGTAATATCCGTTCTGATATATTATGCGTGTGACAGTCGTCACGAGGGTGTGACGGTCGTAACACGGCAAAAATGCGTGTTACGCTCGTCACGAGGGTGTGACGGTCGTAACACGTTCAATATCATTAGTGAGAAGACCGTTGGAGATGATTATATAATAAATTTTTTATTATTTTCTTAATATTCTAAGTTTGAAATATTCTAATTAATTCAAGTTTTGAAATATATATTTTTTTTACTAACACATAATGAAATAATATTTGCGGGAAATATAAACAGTAAATTAAAGAATAAAATATACTGAAAATGAAAATGAACGAAAAAAATAAAATAAACTTGGTACTTGATAAATAATTGAATTAATCCATAAAAATTGTTTCGGAGCACTAAAAATAAAAATGATAAAATGTTAAAATAACTAGAATCCCTCCCACACTAAAACTAAACAGTGTCCCCACCGTATGTACAAATGCGAGAGAATAAATCAAGATAACAACGGCAACTCTAGCCACGGGGAGTCGGGAACATATGCTGGTGCATGAAATTCAACTGGTCGGTTACCAAATCCATGAAAGCGATGAAGTCCACTCGGAGAGATGTAAGCTCGCCCCACATTTCAGTAATTTCTTCATGCAAAGAGTG